GTGTTAATTAGGTGTCAACGATATCCATGTGATGTGAGTATCAGTCACATGGAGGCAGTGCTTAAAAGCCTGAATTTTGCCTGAAACTCTCAGACTGAAGAAGTCTCTTGGAGGAGAGACGATACGTTTCATTAGAGAAGAGGCAAGAAGTAAAAAGTCGTTACTTTCATTTCATTTTTGCTTGTTTTCATTCCAGCTTGTTATTGTAAAAATAAATACTATCTATATAAACTGTGCCTCGAATTTAATTGTTGTTGAGAAGTATAAATATGTAAAATTCTGATACCGTATCAGTTTGCACAGAAACAAACCATGTCACACTAACGCAGGACATAATCATTAAAATAAAAGGGCTGTACTTAATATACTTATTTGTATTTCACGAATTATATTATTGCATTTGGCCGCAGCCCTCAGATAGAATTTTATTTTGGGGAAAAGGTTTGGACACCCTTGATATATGTTTATAAAATGAAACAGCTGGACTAGTGCATCCTAAACTTAACATAAATTAATTATTTTAATACAATTTAGTCATTTCTGCAGTTTTTGTGGAGGTCACCTCCTAATAAATGTCCTTACAGAAACTCTAACTGCTCATTTTAAATCAATACTTTGACTTTTAATACTTAAGTACAAAAAATATCACATACTTTAAGACTTTTACTCAAGTAATATTCCTAAAGGAGACTTTAACTTTTACCAAAGTAAGTTTTTGGTAAGATACTTGTATTTTTACTCAAGTATCACTTTGTGGTACTTTATAGAACACTGCCCGTTTCGAATTCTTCTCCCTTCAGATTTTGGGATAATGAGCTTGCTGGTGTATAAAAATCAAGGTTTAGATCTAATTGGCGTCTTTGTAATGAATATTGGAGCACTGTTCTCTCAATTGACACAAAGCTCATAAATCATTGCTTGATTTATCACCCATATTATTTACAATCRAACTGATTTTAGTTCCATACCTCTACGATGCTGCGCAGGTCCTGAACGTAGGTTCTCTCCGTATCCATTATCTCCTGCACAACCCGGTCCACATACGTCCTGGGTCCCTGCACAGGGCCCGTCCTCCCTCCGCCCTCTGGGCTCTGCCCGGGTTCTGAATGTTCCGTTGCAGCCGGTCTCTTGCTCCCTTTGCCTCCTCCGTCACTCCTGTCGTCTTTCTCTTCGCACCCCAGCTGCCTCGCGGGCACCAGCTCCAGCCGAATGGCCCCGGAGTCGCGGTCCGAGGCGATGGGGTTGCAGTGAGGGGCCGCCACGAGAGTGGACCGGCTGCCCAGTGAGCAGTGGCTGTCCCGGGAGGAGGCGGAGGAGGAAGTGGAGCTGTAGCTGATGGGTCTGTCCACGCTGTCGGGAGAAGAGTCCATGCTGAGGGCCGAGCAGTAGCGCGAGGCAGCGTGACGGAAGGCCGGGTTGCGAAGGCAGCGGGCGTGGATGTCAACGGAGCTCAGGACTGATCCAGAGTCCGGGACTTCAGGAAGAGGTGGTAACACATCAGGCAGGTAGCTATAATCGTCTGGAGACAACAAAAGAGACTCTCATTAGCACGTTTTATTTGAAAATTAGTGGTCAAATTAAGGATTTCACWGAGTTTTGGACTTGCAGATGTTTTTGGAAAGAAAGTTGGTCAACCAATAATGCCCAAATCCAGAGAAAAACTGTAGAAGACAATCAGAACCTGGCAGAGCTATTGATCAAAACCACTTTAAAGGATTGTAATAAGTTCTGCCTACTTCAGACAATGAAATGAGGAATGACTCAAAACATTTTCACAGTACTGTATATTGCTTTTTTTGTTGTTGATGTCTAAGTAAGCAGAGTTCATGCTGTCACAAAAGCCTGGACTGCACACCTTCCAATGCTGAGATATCCATGATTTCAGACAACAAACTCCCTTAAAGGCACAGTGTGTAGGATTTGTTGTTTTCAGCGACATCTAGTGGTTGA